AAGGGCCTCGGCCCGTTTCCTTCGCGGGACTCCCGACCCACTTGGTTGTCCCTCTCTGCTCTTTTCCGACTGCCCTACACGTGGCTTGCCACGTGGCCATCCTTTTGCAACCCTCGAAACGAGGGGGGTAACAGTAGGAATAATGAAAACATCCAATATAAGACACTCGAGGCCTTGGTAGGCTAGCCGGCGGCCATCCAAATTGTTGTGGGCAGGCTGGCCACATCATGGAGGTTTTCTGCTTGACTTGGGCGGCCGCCACCGTGTTTTACAGAACAGGAGCTTCACTCGTTCAAGTTCAACTCATTTTTTTGCCTCTTTTCATACGAATTCAATTATGTTACTTATGTTTTAAATAATTGTGACTCTTATGGGTAGTTGTGTCTCTTGGTAATGCATTGTTACGCCATCTATAAATAAGATTGGTGATTAATTTGTTGATTGAGAGACACTTGAGAATCATATTGATATGATGCCTAAGAATGTTTCGCCATCCATAATTTTCTTATATTAAATTTGTTTATACTTTGTCATTATAGAGGACGTTGTATAGATCTCAAGTATAGATATTTTTTATCATTGGTATTCGGGTTGTTTACGTATGATGCTACCAAAAATTGCACCTGGTCAATTCTGAGTTTGACGACTGATAACTTGCATGAACGTGATCTTTCGATACCCGAAACAAAGGCGTCGAGAGGTGTCGTCGTAGCCCATTCGATGCTTAAGTCAGAAAGGGAATAGAGAGAGAATATATATGCTGAAAATATTTGTAAGAAAGTACCTTAATAATGATATGATGTTCTATAGTTATAGGAGTAGGTGGTGCATTCCTGGTGGGACTCGTTACCTTATTTTTATTTAGGAATGTCTTATGGAAAGATTAGTGTTGGATTAAAACTAGAAGTCTTAACTTTCCATGCGTTGCAAGATAGAATCCTTATAGATTCAGAACTCTTAATTTATGTCGATTGGATAGGGTTCATGCTCTTTCGGGGTAAGAGCTAGCAATGTTTGAATAGTGTGAAAATTTGGTAAATGCAAAATCCTGAGCATGCACACCCGACGAGTGCATAAGAATTTTTTTTACTCTTATTTATTTTGTGCATAAGAATTCAAGGAGAACGTGTCAAAAATAGTAAACAAATTAAAAGAAATGAACCACTTTTTCAATTCTATGTTAATTTGCAAAGAATGTCATCGACTAGCATACAAAACTAGTTGATTTTACACATGATATCAAGAATTTACTGCAAGAACTCAATCGACAATTATACATGATTTTGTACGAAAAATTCGTATATAAATTTAATGAGATAACGACGTTAACAAAGTTTCCAAGTCATTGGACTCACACGGCTAAACTATTTTTACCATCGAGAACTTGGGAAAACGTTTATCCAATTACCTCTAAAAAGGGGAATTTTATAACAGTCGTAATCCTCATACTTTTGATTTC